CCACACCACATGTTTTCTTTACTCAGACTGAAGTATTGTGTAGTGGTTATGAACTTGACTATGAGCCAGAATGCCACATCACATATTTATTTGACTCAGATAGAAGTATTGTGTAGTGGTTATGAACTTGACTATAAGCCAGAATAGCTAGAATAAACATCCAGCATAACTGTTTTCTAGCTGTGTAAACTTCAGCAAGTTAACTAACTTCTCTGTGCCTTGGTTTCATAATAGCAAAATAAGGATAACAGAATAACAATAGATCCTATTTCATAGCAGTCTTTGCAGGAATTAACTTAAGACTTAGAACAGAGCCTAACATCTGGCAAGTACTTAATAATAATTAGCTGAAAAAAATAGTTTTTGAAAATATTCATGCTATGGATAACATTGAGTATGTAAATTAATGTAGGCAAGAAATATATACTATCGAAGCATCTACTCAAAATGCACCATATGTATCACTTCTATACCTTAAACAATTACACAGAAACAGAATGCTTGAGATACCAAAATGCATGCTATGTCAAGTAAAAAAATATATGCAGCGTGTCAAGGCAGTCTAGGTTTTCTAATAAAGTTGACACACAAAATGCTTTAGTAGCATATTAATATTCTACATGTTAGAGTGTAGAAGTTAACAACTAATGCAAAATGGGAAAAGAACACATTATGACCTAAACTCTACAGAGAATCAAAATTACAAATACCAGCCCACTCATGAAAATCTTTAATATTGAAAGTCATGAATATGTAAGTGCTAATAATAAATTTTTTAAAATTTCAATAGCTTTGGGGAGTGCGAGTAATTATTAAATCAGAGTGTGGTTAGACAAAATGGTAGTTTAAAAATGATATCTGAGGGCAACCCCCTCGGGTCCCCTCCCACTGTGGGAGCTTTTCTGTCCTCTCAATAAATTCTGCTTTTAAAAAAAATGATATCTGATAAGAAATTTTGACAGTTTAGAGAAAACATCTTGTTTTAAAATATACGTGTCCCTGAAAAATGTTCCATAATATATAATATATACATAGCACCAGAAAATGACATTGTTATAACTTAAGAATTTTGGCCTATATCTCCCAGGAGGCCTCAATCACCTGCTGTACTTGACTCAGTTAACAGGGTTGTTTTCCCTCTATTCTGTACCCAGTTCACTAGCCTGTGATTCCAGCAATTCCAGTAGTTTCGTGCTTATTTTCACAAACTTTTAGGGGCTTTCCTCTACAACTAGTCTCAGTGTACTTGCCTAGTCCATAGCCCAGGATCTCTCCAGTCACGTAACCACTATGATAAGTTTACCCATAGCCACCAGGTGTCGCACTTCTCCATAATACCCTGCTTTGTGAGTGGTTTTTGCCAGAGGTGAAATAAGACAAAATTTAAAATGTAAGTCTTTGATCTTTTAAATGAAATTGACCTTAAGAATTGATTAACAAAGTCAGAAAAATTGAGATAAGACACACTGAAAGAAAATGGAGATCTATAATTTCTGTTGGAAAAAAATTGACCACAATTGCTTGTGCTTAGTACATATGTTACCGGAAGACTAGGGTGTTTCTTGAAATCTCGGCTCATGTGAAATAAAGCCAATATGAAACAAGTGTTACCTAATTAATTGTAACGTATTCTTCATGAGGTAGAAGAGTAACTGAAGCCTTTTGGTAATGTGCTTTGAGTATAGGATGGTATTTAGAGAGAAAGAACTTTTCAGTACTTCCAGCATGGTTTGGAGGTAAAATAACCAATCTTTTACAATTTAGATGATTCTTCCCCCAGAATGAAGAAAAACAGTTACTTTAGCCACCACAGTTTAATGAAACTATTTCATAAAACAAAATGTAAAAACATATTAGAAACAATATAAATGTCCCCCAAATGGCATAGCAATTAAGTATATATACACTGTCCAGGTAAGAATGTTAGTAAAATCATGCAGTACACACCACAATTTTACACTTATTAAAATATATATTTGTTAATTTTATATATTTTAATGCAGCAATAATACTAAAAGGTAATATACAAGTTGTTAGTAGGGTTTATCACTGGCTAATAAAATAATAACTTTACTTTGAATTTTTTCCAACTTTTCTACAATGAGCGCAAATTACTTTTACTTTTTTCTATATAACTTTTATAATGAGAAAAAAGAAAAAAGTTTTTGTTTTTTGAGTTGGAGTCTCCGTCGCCCAGGCTGGAGTGCAGTGGTACATTCACAGCCACCCCAGCATTGACTTACTGGGCTCCAATAATCCTTCTGCCTCATCCTTACCAGTAGCCGGAATTATAGGCGTGCGTTACCATGCCTGGCTAATTTTTGATTTATTGTAGAGATGAGGTCCCTCCAAGTTGCCCCAGCTGGTCTTGAACCCATGGGCTCAAGCATCCACTTGCCTCGGCCTCCCAAAGTGCTGGGATTACAGGCTGTGCTGGGATTACAGGCTGTGCTGGGATTACAGGCTGAGCCACTACGCCTGGCCCTCTGCTCAAATTCAATGTCTACAAAACAAACTTTTGAGCTGTAATTAGTCTCCTGGGGCACCTGCCCTCCAGGACAATGCTTGTGTCACAGCTATGCAGCCAAATGTATGTAGCAGCATGAAGTAAATACATGCCATCTTGATATGGATATTAAGACTCTTTCGAATATGGCCAGATAAATCACTTTCCCAGAATCTATTAATTCCTGAGTAACTTAATTAATTTTTTTAAAAATTGGAGTTGAGAACCAGAATCCCAGGGAAGGCAGAAAGATGCCTGGACATCTTCCAAGCTCCTTGATGGCTTCCATTTTACCATCTTGACATGAGAGAGGTTGTTTCAGCTCATTGAGGGAAATACCAGCAGGGTTCTGACTCTAGAGGCATTGAACAAGGAAGGACACTCTATGTGAAGCCTAGCACAACCACTAACTGTCTCCACCAATTACAGTTCTTGTGTAGGTGCTGAAGAGACAGATGCCAGGGGGAGCAACAGAGGAGCAAAGGAGTCACATTCTGGGTCATTCCCATAGGAACTTTGAAAGTAAACATGGCAGCTGAGGATCAGTAGGCTATTTTCTGCTGTTTCCCTTCATTTGGTTCAAACTCATTGAGAAGAGATACAGTGAGGCAAGAGTCATCTCCACAGCCATCTCTTCCTTCTCCATTTATTCCTCATATCTAAACTTCCTGAATGTAGTGGTATGCGAGACAGATCAAACAACCAGGTTGACTGAGTCTGAAACCTGTCTCTACCCCTGGCAAGCTATGAGACATTCTATACTTCACTTCCTTTGTCTTTAAAAAAAAAAGGAAGGGGGTAATAGTACCTACCTTACAGAAATATTGTAAGAATTGCAAGCAATAGTTGCATGTTAGTAGGTGCTCAAAACAGAGTCTGGCATCAAGAAAGTGCTTTAGTCATTATTATTAGCATTTGTATCACAATTTTAATTATCTGAACAAGGAGAGAGGGTCAGTAGAGACCAGGTAGAAAATTACTGTGGTACTTCAGGTCTGGAATACTAGAGAGACATAAAAAATGCAGGTATCATTAATTTCTGAAAACCTATATGATACCTTTGTACAAATTAGAAAAGACACTTCTTAGTCTTCTTCGGGATACTTTTTTCCCACAAGCTTAAAAAAAATCATAATACACACAAATGGCTGGGTGCAGTGGCTTGTGCTTGTAATGCTAGCACTTTGTGAGGCCAAGGCAGAAGGGTTGCTTGAGGCCCGAAGTTTGAGACCAGTCTGGGTAGCATAGTTGTAGCAGGAAAAATAGAGAGATTGTGACACCGAGACTATTATAGGAAGTGGCACTTTATTACGCTGGCTAGCACTAGCACAGCGGGCCCAAGAACTTCATGCATTCAAATTAAGCTCGAGCACCCCAGAACAGGAGACGTGGGGTCTTATACCCTCGTTTAGGTAAGGGAGGGGGGTTGTGTTGAGTGATTTCATACTTCCTTTGGAATCTTACAAGGTTGTACTCAGCAAAATCAGATTTTTCAAAGAACAAATGGTTTCCAGGAACTGCAGGATTGTAAACCTCGGAAGGGGGACTTTAGATAAGACTCTTTTTCATTTCCAAGAAATAGTCAGTCTCTGGGCCATTTGGCCTTTCTTAAACAAAACCTGCCTGACGCCGGGTGGGCCTTTAAAGTTGCAACTTGTCTTTCAAAGGGAAATACCTTTAACTGCTATCAACCTTTCCTTCTTGCTGCTGGGCTAGTGGCAGCCCAGGTGAGGCCAACGAATCAGCCTCATGTGTTTCTGTTTATTCACTCAATCACACAAGAAATATATTTGAGCATATGCCGCCTCCTGCCACATAGTGAGAATCCATATCTACAGAAAATTATTTTTAAAAATAAAAATAAAATAAGAAATACACACAAACATCTATGATGCCTTTTTTTGGGAAAGATGTCTCTTCTGGTTCTGCAGTGTATAGCCTTCACAGCTGTACAACACAGATTTCACTCTGACAGAAGAGTCCTTAAGGCTTGGTGACAGATGAGTTACTAAATAACAGAGAAGATTTGAAGGAAAGTTGAGGAGTCCAGGAAGTACTTGGATATGTGTGCAAAATTCTGGTAGGGGTATGAGCGTGCATGCCTCAGGGTTCATAGATTTTGTTTCAGATGTTTAATTGTGAGTCCCCCAAATTTAAGAAGCCCTCTTGCAGAGGTAGAATATGAGATGACATAGATGTGTGGGGTCTGAGGTGAGGGAGGAAATGAAGGAAGCCTCTAAATGCAGCTTGAGATTCATGAGAGACTGCTACAAGGGGGGAAAGAGCACAGCTGGGTGTCACTGGCATGCAGGAAGAACTCAAAACCAAAACGGGGAAATCTTTCTGAGAAAGTGAACAGGTAAGGGAAAGCAGAGAGTTCTTTGGGCAGTATTTGTTAGATTCCATTCTGTCCTGAAACATGAAGCACCCCACAGTTATGTCCCCTCTTTGAGACTCCAGCATTGTCGCCTCACATGGGTCTGCAGGCTGCACTTCACTCACATTCAGTTAAGACGTAGTCCCCCATGGCTGCTCCTATGAAGACAAGAGACCCAGAAGAGAGGCATCACAAACTTAGGCATCATCTTGCCTTTTCCCTGTCCATCACCTTCCTCATTCACCTATTTTAACTCTGCCACTCTTGTCTCAGAGCAATACTGGATTTCAGACATCATTATCTCTCTTCTAAAATTGCTTATTGGCCTTCTAACTGGTTTGCTGACCTCCCATCTCACTTCCTAACAACCTATTCACCACGCAAGGGAGATAATGTCCTTCCTTGCTTAGGTTCCTGCATTGCCTCATCAGTGATCATAACATAATGTCCCAAAGATCCCCAGGACTCTGCATAAGCTGGCTTCTGTCTGCCTCTCTTTTCCCCACACCACAGATATTCAGATGGCAGAAATGCAGAATTAGTGATTGATGAGTATGCCAAGTCAAGAACAAAGTACAGTAATTACTTCTCACCTCCCACTATACCTTCCACTCCCTCACTTGGCATGGTTGCTTTATCTGTGTTGCCCTTCCCTCATCCTAACCACACTGAAAGAAATTCTACTTCTTCAAGATCCAGAAGACTTTCTTGATCCTTAGCTGAATGTGATCACTTTTTTCCTTGGACACCCCAAATCACTTGCTTCCTATTTGCCTTAGGGCCTCAAAGGGTCACCTTTAACTGCATTTACTTATCATCAACTTTATTATCTACTAGATTTGGGTTTTGGGAATAGTTATAGTGATTTTTTCAAACTCCAAGCCCCTGCACGACCTAAACAGTCCTTGTAAAATAGTAGATGCTAAAAAGATGCTTGTTGAATTAGGAACTTTCATTCTAAGAAAAACATTAACTCTTTTCCTGCTCCCAAGGAGATGCTAGTGATTGCCCAAAAAATGAGAGAAAAGAGAGCTTCCCACAGATGTCAAATCCCCTCTGCCCTCCTATCCCACTTCCTGCAGGAGAACTATTGTGTCCTGGGGGCAGAGGTAGTAAGAGACTTTCTCTTTGTTCCTACTCACTCGAAGCCTGCCTCTTTCTTAAGATTCTGAGCAAAATTCCGACAAAGCAGATGATGACACAAACAGCGATCACACTGATGACTCCAATGACCAGGGTGCCAGATGGTGAGGGCTCTAAAACAGCAAAAGAAAGTTAAAGTCTTTGATTGCCACCCCCAGTTTATACCCCAACAAAGAACAGATCCTGTTTCATTGCCATGTTGACACTACACTCCCTTTCCTCTCCCCTCAGTTTTACCCAAAACAGGAGTTCTCATCTCCCAGATGTCATCTGTCACGTACCTGAAGCGAGAAGTTGATCCAGACCTGGGAGCTCCACCTGGCAGGAATATCTTTGCTCTTCCCCAGGGGGTACATCCAAGACTACCCAGCCCTGGTAGGTCCCATCCCCATTGGGCACCACATCCTTAGTCTCCATCTCCTTGGCATCCAGTGGCTGCTGATCCTTCAGCCATCTCATGTGATATTCTTTGGGTAGAAGTTTAGAGCCCGACACCATAGAGTGGTTGCTGCTGAGGTCACATAATGAGTCACCTTCACCAAAGGAAGCACTTAACAGGAAAGAGGAAGTAGGTAGAGAAGGGATCTTTTTATCCTTGTCAGGAAGACTGAAACTTTCACTTCCTTCTATAGATTTGAGGAAGGAAAAAACAACTTTTTCAGAAAAAACAATCTGGAGAGATATCATTTTGTGTCCTTAAATGTGTTCCAAGATTGAGCTCTGATGTGGTGTCATATGGAACAGTCTGATCAGCCTGTTCTTCTGTCTAACATGTAAATATGCATACCTGTTACACACGTTGTTTTGACAGATGAAATGGCTTTGTATGTGTGCCAAAAATGATTGCATATGGACTATCGAGTTCATCTGGTTCAACCCAGTAAGCATTCTTGTAAGAAGCAACCTTGTAAGAGTCAGTTTCAGTGATTATTACTAGATTCTGTGGAAGAAACATTTAACCTAAAGGATTCTGCTACTTTGATGAGTAGCCTCACTTGGAATACCAAGACTTTTCTTGTCTTGATATTTATGTGATAGTTAAATCTCTGAATTCTTAAAAGGTATAAATATAAAAGGCATTCTTGGTTAAATCAAAACAAGAACTAGGGATATTTCATTGGCCACATGAATGGAGAAAAAAATAAAATAAAACCATGACTCATGACTCATGACTCATTTCAATGATAAGGTACAAATCCTTCAATTGGGAAACTCCCCTCCCAGAACTTGGAGAGTCACACAATCTCAGCCATTCTGAAACCCCAGCCAGAGATCCTGTGCCCTACTCTGCCACTACAGTGTGGAGCAGAAGGCTGTTTCCACCATACCTTTCTGGTTCAGAACACCTCTCCCCAGCTCCAGCAACTGATGTAGCTGTTCTGGGCAGTCCCTCTCGAGGTAGGCCCTGTTCTGCTTGGCCCGGATCTTGTGTACGTCCCACTCCAACTTGGTGGCCTGGGCCCTGGGCTCTGCTGCTATCCAATCCAGCATCTCAGGGCAGAATTCAAGGTAGTCCTGCCCATCGTACCCGTACTTCCAGAAGCCTCTGGTGCTGTTATCCTCTTGAATCTCACAGCCTAGCATCACTTGCAGGGTGTGGGACCCTGGAAACACCGCCAGCCTTATTAGTGAAACCAAATAGTAGGTCCCTGTTTCCACCCTCCCCAAGGACCGAATGATCTCAGGAAGAAACTTCTCAGTTCACCTGCCCCACAGTACCTCACACTTCCAGCTCTTTCCCTCAAGAGGCATCCCTGAGGCAGTAAAACACTCCAACTACCTCAGGAAGGTGAGGTGCCCATCTCCACATACCCTTGCTGTGGTTGTGGTTGTCCATGATGGTCCAGAAGTCAACAATGAACATGTGATCCCACCCTTTCAGGCTCTGACTCAGCTGCAGCCACAGCTGGCTTGAAGTTCTACCCAACACCCATGGGGCTCGGGGCTCCACACGGCGACTCTCGTGATCATAGGACACAAACAACTGGTCATCCACATAGCCCAAAGCCTCAAACAAGGAAGATCCAAGGTCCCGCTCTGACGTACCCATGAAAAGGTAGTGCAGAGAGTGTGAACCTGAGGAGAGAGCAACTTGCTTTCACCAATGTGTAGTATGGGGGGTGGGGGAACAGGAGGCAGAGGCTCCACACACCTGAATCAAATGATCTCGTCAGTTGTGTCTGGTTGTCACTCTGGGAAGAGTGAGACAAAGTCCTGCCTTCCCTCCATATGACAGTCCTGGCTTCTTTCTCCTAATACGCCTCCTTCTGCTGCATTTGGTTGCCACCCCTCACTTCCCCCACACTTTGCTCCATTACTCACAAACAGATAGTTTCCCTTGGAGCTGACAGACTCTAAATCCTAAGAGGTCTCTATTCATAGTAGTTGAGCTCAGGAGTTGGTCCCAGAACTACTTAGAGGCAAGTCCTGAGGAATTTGTGTGTGTCTAACTCTGACCCCTCTACTTCACATCTTTACAGCGCACCCATCATCATTACCTGATGCTGTTTATCTTTTTGCTTGTTTGCTTATTGGCAGCTCTCCTGCTAGAATGCAAAATATCAGAGAGCAAAGACTTGGTTCCCTGCTCTTTCCCCAGGGCCTAGAACGGTTAAATACATGGTTGGGACTCATTTTACACTTGTGAACAATGAATGTTTCTGTTTATCATCAGATTTTATTTTTCAGCCTCTAATGTAGTGCGATGTTTAAGAATCATAACTATGAAGCGGAGACATGAGCTCTACAGCTAAAGCCCAGTGTATCATTAACAAAGTTACCCCTCAGCAGCCCATGTGCATTCTTGTCATCTCTAAAATGCCGATACACATAGCACCTACCCTCAAAGTGGTGTTATGCGACTGGTGGCATGTGAAACACAGAGTGCTGTACTAGACAACAGGGCAAAGTCACTATCAGAAGCAGCAGAAATATTTAACATCAGAAAACCAGATTGCTTACATTCTTTGTATCCTGGAGGGAGTTATTTAACCTGAGGATAGTTAATTTATAGTAAAATAACCCTCTCCTAGTCAGGCGCGGTGGCGCACGTTTATAATCCCTGCACTTTGGGAGGTGAAGGCAAGAGGACTGTCTGAGCTTACGGGTTCCAGATCAGCACGGGCAACTTGGTGACACCTCATCTCTACAATAAGACAAAAAATTAGCTGGGTGTGCTGGTGGCATGCCTGTAGTTCCAGCTCCTTGGAAGGATCGCTTGAGTCCAGCAGATCAAGGCTTCAGTGGCTGTGAGCGTGACACCGCACTCCAGCCTGGGTGACAGAGTAAGATTCCAACTCAAAAACAAAACAAAACAAAACGATCCTACCTCCCAAGTGAAAGTCCAATAAGATCACAGATATGAATGAGGCTTAAAACTGAATTCATTATGTAAATGTTAATTATCATTACTTTGGCATCCTTTCGGAAAAAAACTGTTAATTATACAACACATTGCAAATCGACAACGTCTGGCTGAAAAAGTGAGGTGTTCAATTGAGCTCAAACCTAAAATGTGCATACTTTATTTTCCAGGCAAAAGAATCGCCAAGAATCGGGGAAAGGCCCAAGGTAGGCCTCTTAGAAGCCTACCACCACCAGGGGCTTCCACCCCATGTCTCACCCAAAGGGGGTGAGGTGGAGAGGAATTCAGATTCCCAGCCCCACTCCTCCAGGTCCTCGGTACGATTAGTTCTGAGGTGGAAGTCCCGCGCGGGTCCGTCGTGGGTTTGCTCAGCCCTCACGGCGGATACTCCGGCCAAGGTCGCCCTGGGTGAGAACTTCCTGTTTGCGGTGACTGGGGAAAAAAACCGCACAGCCCACCTTAGAAACAATAAGGCCGAGATCAGAGTCCAAGAAGCCCCAGGCTTAGCGCTGCTCAAGTGAGAAACTATGAGACTTATTTAAAAGCGTCACGGTCGGGGAAAGAGTGGGTGGATCCAATCGCCAAACCGAAAAGTGGGGACAGCGGGAGTCGGGGAAGGGGACTGGTCCTGGGGCAAGTTAACCCATCCGCAGCTCAGTGGCAGCCGACCCCTCCTGGGGTCTTTTCGCAGAAAGTAGGGAAGGGGGACTGTGGATGGCGCCTAGCAGCTTCGCCGAAGTTAGCAACTCCCAAGAGCTAAGCAAAGCTAGTTTCGATTGTTCCTTCCCCGCCGCGCCCCGAGGTCGCCCGCAGCTCCCTGGACTCACGCAGCAGTCGCCCCTGAATGACCACGGTCCGCAAGAGCATCAGCAGGAGAAAGGCTGGCCGGGCTCGCGGGCCCATTTCCCTGGCTCGGATCGCGCGTCCCCTGCGTCTCCGCCTCTTCGCTGGGGCGGGGAAAAGGGGACGCGATCCAAAAAGTCACCCTGCAGCTGTTGCCTAGGCTCCAGGGATACCCAACAAAACTTCCTGGCTAGTGGGATCCCTTTCTTGCTTGGTCAAAAGAAATAGGTTTACCGAACTTGAATTTTCTCTTTTCTACAGTAGAAGGTACCTGCTTGTGACCCAGCTCTCTCTCTGGTTTTTAAATCCTGAGAGGATGTTGCTGATCGGGGGAAGTGTCTTCACAATTTTCTGTTCTAAATATTTAATGTTTAAATAGTGAGTTCAGAATTCAGTTATATATTCCAAAACTTTTATCTCAAGCTTAAGCCAACTCGCTGATGTCATTTGATTTAGAAAAATAATAATTTTAGATTTTTACTAGAATTAATTAAATCATAAGATTATCATATTAGATTTCCACAACTTTCATGACTGAATTACTTGAGGAGTGTTTCGCAGACTTTACAACACACGGATATTACCTGGAGAGTCACCAAGCATATATAAGCCTTTCTCCCACCCCAGGTACTGATTTAATTGGTATGGAGTACCATGTAGGAAGTGGGATTGTAAAAGGCTCACTCTTCCTTCAACAAAGTTTGAAAATTTCTGCCTTAGACATATCAAACCACATTAGCAAATTGATCACATCTGGTTTGCTCCAAATCTTTAAATATCTGGCAAATTCAACAAGAAATATTTAGTGGCTACGTAGAAAATTTGGCCCTGACAACACCTTGAATTCAGACTTCTGGCCTATACAACTGTGCGAGAATAAATTTATTTTGTTTTAAGCCACTCAGTTAGTGTTATTTTGGTATCGCAGACCTAGAAAACTTAACACATGTCCCTTTCATTTTTGTATGTTTTGAGTCTTTCAGATACGTATATTCCTTCTCTCAGTGTTAATTCATAGAAATCAAGTCCTCTGCCTTGAAAAATGAAGTTTCTTTGAACTACCAATAAAATAAATCTCAGCATGATAGGTTATAAATATTCCCTCTTCCCCTCAAATTTCAAAAAAGCAGAATAGTCTCTTGCATCATAAAATGGTCTTTGCCAATGTTATTTTTAACAAAGGAAACTTGCAAGACTATCAGATCTCAGCAATTGTTGCTATGTCCTGTAAAAGTGATTTTCTAAAATGTTTGAATGGACTGACTCTTTCATTTAATGATTTGTTTCTCTAGAAATACTGTAATAGATATCCATCTTGTTGGTATAAATATTAGTACATTTTGTTGTTGTTAAGTTCTTAAATAAAGTTCATATTTAACACTTATTTAAACAAAATATTTAAGGTCTTACCTCAAGTAAATTAACAAGTGTTAATAAATTCATGGTGTAAATAGTAAAAATAACTGCAAAAGGCATATTTTGTGCGGGAAACATGTTTACTAATTATCTGTTAAAATTCTGTGAGAAATAACCACCAGAGATCCTGAAATAACTAAGGGTTAATAATAAGAAAAGAGGGACACTTACTTGATCCCTATCTCTAATTCCCTGCCCTGGTATAGCAAGAAAAGTGTGGCTCGATGAAGAGAGTTTGTGATCTCCCCTCTCCATAAGTCCACATATACTTGACCTGCACTCTCTAATATATACACATATGCCCCAAATCCCTCCCATATATACACATACACCTAATCTCTGTATATTCACATATACCTAACCCTCTCACTGAGTATCTCTCTCTCCTAAATACACATGTATATAGGCAATCCTATATACACATGTATATAAGAGTATAACTGAGCTCCAGTGGAAGGAAATGGGGAAGTAGAAGTTACCAAAGGATAAATCTAGGACATAATCTGAAATATTAAAAACACAAAATATATTATAAAATAAAAGTTGATGATTTTTTTGTGTCAAAATTTAAAATTTCCATTTTATAAATGGTACCATGGGTAACATTAATACATGGCTGTCAGAAATGGCAAAAAATTAAATGCAATGTCCGAAATGTACAAAAGGACTGGTAGTTAGAATGCACAAGAAACCCCTGTAGTTCAAGTAGAACAAAACAGAAACTCCAAATAAAAAATGTGTGAAATAAATGAATAGGAAATGTATATACAGGAAAACCCAAAGCACTTTGAAATAAAAGGAAAGCAAAGTGATATATCAATTTGCATCTCTTGGAGCATCAACAAATTAGAAAGTCAAATAATGCTGTGTTAGAGTTGATATGGAGACACAGGAATCCCCAGACACTGCTGACAGGAATGCAAACTGAGGTTTCAATGCTATTCCTCGGAATATTTTCCAAAGAATATCTCAAATATATCCCATAAAGATGACCAGAAGGTGTAGGCAGATTGATATCCTTCACTGAGAAAGTGAGGAGGTAAGATGGGGTAACTACATGACACAGAATTGGAGGTAATGAATTAGATGTCCACAAAGTCACCTGAAGTAATCCACAAGATGCTATCTTAGTAAACTAAAAATGCATGCACAAAAGCAAAAAATAAAATAAAAGAAAAAAGAAAAAAAAAATGCATGCTCATGCTCATACAAACACACACACACACACACACACACACACACACACACAGACACACACACATACCCACTCCTTTGTGCATGTTGTTCCAGGCAGGTGGACCGGGAGAATTAAAAGCTTTCTACGTTCCACCTGATGGACACGGTAAATGCCCAGAGCACACATTCCATGAAGGAGAATGGAGGTAAGAATTTGGAGATTTTTGTCTGGTCTGGAACTCTGCACCTGAATATGCAGAAGAAAGAGATCCCTGCCATCCCACTTCCCTTCTTTCTTACCTGATTAGACCAGTTTTTTCAAAGAATGTCAATTTCAATCATGGTCAAAATGCCTACTAAAAGGGCACGAAAGAAGCAGTGTTTGTGGAGGCAGATGGTTTCTCTGAAATGAAATGCAATGTTTGGGGCTCAACGGGGTTGAATTTCTGACTCCTTTCCCCATCTCACCAGCATGTTGAATTCTGGGTGCTTCATCCTAACCCCCTGCTCATGCCATACCCATCCTGGACTACCAATCTTGGCGGCTTGGGCCTTTACCCCATATGATAATGAGGGTACCATTCAGGTCTCCATGCTCAGCCTGGCAGGAGTATTTGTCTTCTTCTCCAGGGATGGCCACATTCACCAAGCACTGGCAGATTCCATTCCCACTAGGGCAGCACCCTCTGTGGTCTGAGTTCAGGTCACCCTGAACCCTCAGCAAGTTAAGCATGGTAGCACAAGGGAAGAAACACAGGGCTTCGCACTGCAGCTCCATTTCCCACCAAGAGGTCTGATGACTGATCACATGGACTGAAGGAGGTTCTGGAAGCAGGAGTGAAATGAGAAATAAATCCTAGTCTCAGCTCTTCCCAGGCTTGCCTTCCTCTCTCCTAAGATTCAGAAACCACCTGCAAGCCAGTTTCGGGCCCTCAGCTAGTGCTTTAGCATCAGCTTTTCACACTCAAGAAACCCTCATGGAAGAGAGAAACTACAGGGTGAAGTATGCCTCCCCCACCAAAAAAAGTTGTTGAAATCCTAACCCCCGGTACTTGTGGGTGTGACCTCATTTGAAAATAGAGTCTTTGCAGGTGATCAGGTTAAGATGAGGTCATCAGGGTGGGCTATAATCCAATATGACCAGTGTCCTCATAAAAAGGAGAAATGTGGATGCAGAGATAGGCTTGAATAGAAGCAAACACATAAGGAGAACCCCCATGTCAAGTCAAAGAATGTCTGCGGCTACTAGAAGCTAGGAGAGGCCAGGTTTTCTGTCACTGCCCTCGGAATCAACTCTGAGGACACCTTGATTTCAGATTTCTAGCCTTCAAAACTGTGAGACAATAAATATCTGTTGTTTAAACCACCCAGTTTGAGATTAATTTACTACAGCCCCAGAAAACTCATACTGTAGGGGATAGGTACTAAATTGTGTTTCCCAAAACTCATATGTTGAAATCCTAATCCACAACTTGATGGTATCTGGAGATGAGGCCTTTGGGAAGTAGAGTTAGATGAGCACATGATGGTCAGAGGTCTTATGATGAGATTAGTGCCTTTATAAAAAGAGACAACAGTTAGCCCTTTCTCTTTTTCTCTTCCCAACACACCCCTTGCCCACAGAAAGATATGTGAGAACACAGTGAGATGGAAGCCACCTACAAGTTAGGAAGTGAGCCCTTACCCAGGGACTGAATTGACCAGAGCCTTGGTATTAGGCATCCCAGATAAGAGAAAATAAATTTCTATTTTATTTAGGTCTTTAGTCTACAATATTTTGTTATAGCAACTAGAGGCAAGTAATACAGTAGAAGGGATGAATCATGGAGTCATGGGATGAATCTTGGAATTATGTAGTTCCAAGTTCATGCCTCTAGCAAAAGGTTTCCCTGAAATCTCTGAGAAAAATCAAATGAATTAAATTATTTTGGGGAACATATAAGGAATCTGTTAAGTTTGCAAGAGCTGAAGAATGCTTTATAACAGCAATGTCTAATAGAACCTTCTGTGATGATAGAACTCTTTCTGCACTGTTCAAAATTGTATCTACTTGCCACATGTAGTTATTGAGCACCTAAAATGTGACCAGAGTTTCTGAGAAACAAAATGTTCAATTTTACTTAATTTTAATTCATTGCAATAGCTACATGCGGGTAGTGGTTATCATATTGGACAGCCTAGCTCTAAGTCTTTTTTTTTTGAGTTGGAGTCTCACTCTGTCACCCAGACTGGAGTGCAGAGGCCGCTCTCAGTCACCGCAGCCTCGACCGACTGGGCTCCGGCGATCATTCCGCCTCAGCCTTCTGTGTAGCTGGAACTACAGGTGCGTGCTACCACGCCTGGCTAATTTTTAACTTATTGTAGAGATGAGGTCTTGCCAAGTTGCCCAAGCGGGTCTTGAACCTGCGGGCTCAGGCAATCCACTCACCTCAGCCTCCCAAAGCATGAGATTACAGGCTGAGCCACCGAGCCTGGCTCTCTAAGTCTTCTAAGTGAAACAGGAGTCACTAGGGTAGATGCTGGTCGCAAAGTGCCGTTGGCAGTTGGCACACATGCAAGAGG